ATCTTAAAGTGGCCAAGTTTGGACAACACTGTGCTACCCATCCTGATGATAAAAAGTCTGGAAGTCAGATACTTCTCCCTTTTAATTTTTGCAGCTGAACTTTAGCACTACGATTAGTGAACTTGATTTAAATAGCTTCGATTGACGTTCTTAAACTATTTTTGTTTTGTTTGTCCTCTCAGTAGACATGGGTCTTTTTTGGAATGACTCATAAAAATTCAGCAAAGAAAAAAGATGTTCCCTAGTAGGGATGAGATCTCATCTCTATAATGCTGACAGCCTTTTTCGTTCTTTGTTTTTAACCAGCATGCCCACAGATTCCTGAGCATGTCCTGCTTGTTATCTGAGAAGAGGTGAGAGCTTCCTTGGGCTTCATTCTTACCATGCGTGCAGCATGTCTGAAATACCTTCTGTGGATGTTCTGAGTAATCATTACGATGGACTTGTAAGACAGACCATTGTCCCTCCATTTCTTATAATGCAAGTAGAAAAGTTGAACTCGTATGGTTTTCTTCAAGGTCTCCCTGAGTGTCAGCCCTTTGAGGTAGTCCAGACAGGAATCCCATACCATGAGTACTAACACTACCTTTATTATAATAGTGGTAGAATCTTGCAAGTCTGAAAGTACATTTCTCTCCCTTCCTCTTGCCTTTACTTTCCAGAGAACTAGGGAGGGTCCCTTCTGAGATGCTTTCTCTACCCCCATTCCTTCTCTGGGCTCAGATATGACCCATTGTCTAGGCCAGTGATTGCGAACCTTTTGGTCTCGGTGTGTTAAAAATTAAGAAAATGCGTAACTTGACTCTGCTGGCATGTCAACCCCCTGAACAAAAGAGAAACAATTCTTTACATATTAGTTTATTTTTTAAAAAATACAGTTTGATCGTGTGTGGTGCTATGTATTATGTAAAGAAACGTCAAAGAATTACAAAAATGAAATATGAGGTGTTGGTGAACGCTAGTGTGTTCACATCATGGTGTGTCACCTTTGACACGCATGTCATAGGTTCGCCATCTCTGGTCTAGGCTGTGGATCTTCCTCCTGCCTCCCAGGGTTATTCCCACAGCCCATTACACTAAAAGACTACAACACTGGAAATCATGAACAATTATATTTTCCCTCCTAAGGATTGACAGCCAGGAGGATGAAGACAAGAGAGCAGAAATCTCAGAAACTACCCTTTTGTCTTCAGATCTTGCCAGATTGTTGATAGCAGAAGGCAATGAACTGTTGGAGCCCAACTCATTGTCCAATGCTACAAGAGATGGTAAGTTCCTCTTATAGACAATGCTGCTGGAGATTTTTGACAAGCGGGCTGACTCACAACCTAAGCACTTCTGCTACACAGGAAACACAGAGACCAGTTTCTTTTCTGTTATTACTACA